CGGATCTTCCACCATCAAACTTAGAAGCCTGGTCTGGATTTTAATAAATTCCTGACAATGACAATTTTTTCCTTTTTATTATGTGAACATTCTTCTTTTCTCTTGGTTTCACTCATGTTAATCTCACTATACCTTTTAAACCACTCACAGTTGCAGGTCTCGGCCCTAGCTAAGCAACCCCAGCCCAGATCTCTGTGAAAGCAGTGGGGGAAAGGTTTAAAGGGGGTAGAGCAACCCAGGCAACAAGCTGCAAGGCAACAAGGATAGAAAAGGAGATGTGATCTAAGAGTTATACACAAGATACCAGGTAAAGGCAAGGGAAAATGGTAGTTTTCTACTTCAGTCACCTCTGCTACGCACACATGAGTGCACGTGCACAGACTGTGGAGAAGAGACTTTTCATTGCAAATTTCCCTTGGAATTGCTGCTGTCAGCAGTTATCTGGAGTTAAAAACTAGACACAAAAGTAGAGATGCTGCCCTTCCTGCAATCCAGATCTTACTGGCCTGGTAGGAGGAGGAAGACGGCAGCTTTGGTGCAGTAGTCACTGAAAGGGTGAGAAACAGCAGGTGAAGAGAAGGATCCTGGATGGATGGGTAAGAACAGCAGATTCTTGATTTTAGGGATATCCATGTTTAGAGGTTGTTGATCTGATTTGCAGAAATGCTAAACCCTCACAGCAGAAGCATATTCGGCAAATATAGAGTGCTCCCAAGTACTGAGAATTGTAGCTGGCATCTCAAACTGGCCACACAAATTAGCTTACTGTATAGACAAATTTGCCTTTTTTCTCACTGAAATTTTGTGCATCTTTTTGTGCATCTAAAAAATGGTGTTTTTTTGGTAAATGCATTCAGGTTTCTCTAAAGAAAATAAAAACGAAGAGGAAACAGAGTGAACATGTTCTAAAAGCCAGATAAAAACTCAAGAAAAAGAAAAAAATCTCTCTGTTTGTAGGGTTTGAATGTCATCCAGCAAATGACACCTGAGATCTCATGCTGAATGAGTAAGATAAATTTAAGTATTTAGTAACTGTTCGGTGGAATAAGGAAAGGTTCTAGCAGAGGAATGTCTGACCATGTTTTATGTTATCTCATACCTATAGGTATGAGATGTGTAAATGAGCGGCACCACAGGAACTGAGTTTGGGGAGGATGGGGGGGGCTTAATTAAGAGGCAGAGAAAAACCTTAATGCTGTTGCTCGATTTACCCATGTTCAAGGGCTTGATTTTGTGAGTCTAATTACTCTTTTCACAGTTTTCTTCTCCAGTGCAGCTCATGGGTATGGAAAACAAAGAAAGCACTTTCTGAAAGACAGCTGGCACAGCTGGTTCCTCAGAACACATGACCACAAACCAAACCTCGTACTGTCAGCCTGCATTAGTCTTTGCTTTGGCTTGCTTAGAACTAGTGGCCCATCAAAATGTGACGGTGTTGTACCAACCTTTTCTTCTATAAACAGTTTTCTCACAGCTGATTTTTCTGTCTGGACAGCGTACTGCGAGTTGCATAAGTATCAAGCTCCTTGCGGTTCATAAGCATACCCAAGAAACAGAGATTGCCTGGTAAAGCTTTTTAGGCTGGCAGCTAGGGATCTCTGTAACGAGATCTTGCACAATGTTTGTTCGCTCTTAGAAGATCAGAACATTCCTTGCCAAACCCTCAACCTTTAAGTAGAAATAGGACATATTGCCCTTCCAAGAAGACATGGATAGGATGGTGCAACTCTTCTGACACAGGAAAAGGCAAGGAGGCCTAAAAGGAGCAGATCCTCTCATCTAAGATGTGTAACCACAGTTTTCCTCTTCTTACTGACTCTTGCCAGCAGGTTTGTGTTTTGGAACATACTGCATAGCAACCATGTGTGGGCAAGCAAGAAGAGTTACAACTACTAGTGCTTTCATACCTGGTGAATAGAGCTACAGCTCATAATGATGTTATTTGATCTGTTTTCAATCACTCCTCACTTTATTTAGTAACAAAATACAGTTTCTCATAATAATAATAATAATAATAATGATAAATCTGATATTTAAAAACACAGTATTTTATCATAACTAAAAACTGCAGGTATGCCAAACAAATGTCCTAAATAAGAGAAGGGAAGGGTAAAGGAATGTGGTTGGAATAGCTGGAATAAAAGGAGCAGTGACTTCAGTGAATCCTTTTTTTATGTTATTTTTTTCCTGATGTTTCATTTCTATCCCCATTTATCTTTTCAAAGTTACTGACATTTGATAAAGCCAGTAGCAGCACAAAAGAGAAGGCCAGATACTCTTCCGTGTTAGATTATCCCCAAATTCTGATCATCACACACTTTGTTGCAGCAAATGACCTTAAGAATAAAAGAGGGTGAAAGAAAGGAGTTTTTGAAATGAAAAATTTTACAAATTAAAAGCAGAAAAGAAAGTAATTTTTCAAATTGCCAAATGGTAAGTTGGCCCACTGTACTTTTTAAAAGTGCCTCAGGTCTGCTTTTGAACAATCAAGGTTTAGTTTATGGTCGTGGGTTAAGTAATGTTGTATTGTGTCGAGATTAGTATCAGACTCAGTATATGTGTACTAAACTCCCATTCTCATTTGTGATTGTTTGTCACTGTCAAGAATATCTCAAAAGAAGGAAATATTCAGTAATTGATTTAACTTTAAATCCACTGCCAGAAAAAGTTACCAGGATAATACGATTTCTCCTACAAATGTTATTCTTCTTTCCTGTCCTCAGTTAAACAAACTTTGTGGTTCTAGTGAAAATATGCGGCCTTATTCAGTGGAAAAAGGTTTGGGTATTTTGTTTAAAAGAGAGGGCGTTGTGTTTATTTCCCTAGATCGATGCAGAGATGCAATATCACTAAGTAAGCAAACTCCTGTTATGTTCTGGCATCTTTGGCCTATTTTGCCTTGAGCACACAATTATTAGTAGATGATGAAGTAACTCTGTTAGTAAACAAATGAACAGAAAGGATGTTCACACGGAGGTGAGCCAAGGAGGCCAGCTAGAGGACAGAAAAGACACTTCTGTCCCTCTTCTACTTGGGCCAGCCAAAACTGAAATCCCAAGATTTACATGGTGTATAATAAAAGATATGCTCAACGCATAGTGTGGTCATAGCTCAGTAAGACAGCAGATGCTATGACAGACAGCCTTCAGATGAGGTTGTCAGAAATTTATGTGGCATCAAAGCATCCCTATCTCACCAGATGTCCTACTCCCTGAGCCAGATAGGCACCTACAAGCTGGCTCCCTGGCTGGCTTTTTCTCTGAGGCCCCGAGCAAAAGACAAAGCTGATTAGCTTGAGATCCAAGCAGAATGCAGTACTAAGCGGTACTGATAAATTAAACTCATTTACATTCTGCTCATAAAGATTCTTCCTTCAAAAGGAAAAGTTTCAGATGTGTTGTCTGCTCCAGACACGTTGCACATTCTCTCCCTTGCCCCACTTTAGGTTTTTCCAGTTGAAGAAGAAATATGCATGTGGAAAAAGCCAGATCTAGACTTTGAATTACAGTGCATAATTTTTGCTTTCTCAAGTAATAAAGACTGGCCACACCAAATTTGGAGTGGAAACAACAGGGAGTTTCAACCCCTTGTGAAACTTACCCAGCAACAGCCCACTGAGGAGGGAACACAGAGGATGACTGCTACAGAGCAGAATGTAGAAGGATGGGGCATTGTCATGTACGATATTTTTCAGTCCTTCTTCCCCATCAATTTTTTACTCGGAAAAAAGGCAGAAGACTATTGACCCAATCTTTTCCATTAGACGGGCGTTGTTTCTTTTCCCTTCCTCTGTTCCTCAAGGGTTTTTAAAATAGATTTTGGTGATTTTTAACGCGCATGAGAGATGTCATATTGAAAGCCCTGACCATGTGGTCCTCCATTAGTTTCATTTATGAAAGGATGACACAGGAGTGTTGTACACAGGCTGCAGCCAGCCGACCTTCTGAACAAGTCAAAGGCGAGTTCTGTGCATGTGAAAGTAATTCGGGGTGTTTTTTTTGTTTATTTCCTTTTGAGCTGTCTCCTAAAGCTGCTAATGATGGCACTGTTTGCATCACCCTGATACCACAAGCATGTCTTGGTGGGGTGTGTGTTGTATCATAATACATGAAAATTTCTACAGGCCCACAGGTACTTACACACAGATACATACTGTTGTATTCATACGGTTCCTGGTCATGTGGTGATTCTTCCAGTGGGCACAGTGGTAAGATAATTGCTTAGAAATTGATTTTCAGTTCCAGTAAGCGACAGTCTATCTCTTTAAGTATGGAAAGTAAACAGCTTTGAAAGATTTCTATCCACGTTTTTTTTAAAAAAATCATCTCTTAGGTTTTTCAGCTCGGGAATTAGAAATCTTGACTGTTTTAATGTCAGTTTTAAAAGGGCTAGGAAACCTGCAAATAGCGTGTGCAGTAAATCTGTGCCATGGCAGAAACAATCAGAAGAGTAAAGAGTAATGATTAAACATTTAATCAGAAGCATTATACTTTGTTGTGTTCTCACTGTAGCTGCAGGAAAAGATGCTGTAACAGATCTTTAAATAGAAAACCTGAGGCTAAATTCTACTTCATCCATCAAAAGCAGCTGCTAGGAGATGACCTAATTTTAGTGGCTTATCAATTCCTTAGTGCTTGTTGGTTGATGTAACTTTGATCCTCTGATGCTAGATGACTTTTGTGCTGAATATAGCTGGAATTTAATGTGAATCTTTTGGATGGCTGCCCAGCCAAGCTGCATAATCCAAACAAAGAGAGCGAGCAGTACATGATTCAAGCTACTCACGTGTACAATAATACAAATATATGTATCCTGATTCCTTTGGGCAATCAGCTCCATGTCACCAAGCACATATTTCAAATACAATGTCCTTGTGGGTTTTTTTGGTCTGTGTTTTTTTTTTGTGTTTCTGTTTTTGTGTGTCTTTCCCCCCAAACAATGATCTGCTTTTCATTGGAAAAATAACACAAGATGCAGTGAGACTCAGCTGCTGCCAAGAAATAATGATAGAGTCAATAATTGCAGGACGTTTTTAATGAATGTTTTCCAAGCAAATCATTGCCATTTCAAAGGGTTGTTATTTCTATTTATGTAGAGATTAGCCTACACGTTATCAAGGAGATGGAATGGTTCTGGGTTTTTTTATCATTAGTTTTTGTAGTATTTTTAAGGGATTTTTTTTTTTTCTTTTTTAACAGCAGAAAATGTCTTTGTCTCTCTTTCTAGCTTACTCTTTATCTGGCCTTGCTTTCCTTTTCCTTTCTCTCCTTCTCTTTTTGGCTCTTCACTAAAACCATCTGTGACACACATGCAAGTTGATGGGTGTGTGAGCAATGCTTCACACATATTTAGTTGCCCTACTTGGCATTATTTGCTAGTCATTAAATATTATGCAGGAGTTTTTCATGTCCCATTTTTTTTATTCTCTTAGAAAATTAAGGTAGGAATAAGAGTGTGGTCAGGCTACTGCACAGATTTATTTTTTTTTCTTTTTTTCCTTTTTATTTCTTGGAGAGACTGTGTCTAGAGTTTAGACTGGGGAGGATTTAAACTGCAGGATTAGACTGGAAGGATTTCTGGGTTTTCTTCCTGGCACTGACAATCATGCATTGTGTGAGCCTGAGCCAGTCACTTAGGGCCTGTTTTTCACACTCCAGTTGAAATAAATGGAAACTGCATGTGCTCAGCACCTCTGCAAACCAGGTCATTTATCTCTCCTCCTTTTATTTATGCACTGATAAATATAACAATCTTTGCATATGCAAACTGGATAGAAGGATACAAATATGGGCAGTTGAACATGCAAATCCCTCATTCTGATGCACAACCATTTCATACAGCCAGGGATTTCTACATTTGCAGGCCCTGGGTTCTTTTTGAAAAAATGAACCACAAATAACAAAATCCATACAGACTTGTCAGGGAGGCAGGGCTGAAATCAATGTATTTGTGTAGCCTCTTTTCTACAGTTTCACTTCTGTTAAAAATACTATTAGCTATAATAATCATTTTAGCCTACTTTACTGCTGGATTAAACCACGTTGTCAGTGGGGGCAAATGCCTTGGGCATTGCATGCTAATTGTAGGTTATTACACAAGACTCAGTGTTAACTGTTTGACACACTTTTGGATTCTTGGGTGGCCTTAATCATCCCTTCGTGGTACCTGCATTTCTTCAGTGACAGTAAGGGTGTCCAAAGGGGCTAGCCAGCAACTCAAAATTTCCCCAGTGAAATGGGAGTGATCTTTTAAATGCTGCTCTTCCTGATATAAAAATGTCAGTGGCTCCTGGCTCCTGGATTCTGTGTCCCGCTTGTGCAGGAACTCAATGGAAGTCAGAAGTCCTGAGGTCTTTCTTGCAGTCACAAGATACTGTCCACCGGCTTCAATTGCTGTTCTGATGCTTTAAAATGTTTTAATTTTGGTGAACGTAGCATTAAAAGAAAAAAAAAAAAAGAAAAAAAATTAATTATTTTCCCTAGCTCTGTTGTGAAGAAAAAAAAAAAAAAAATTAAATGTTTACATTTTGCCCAAGGTCTCACAAAAAGACCACAATAAGGATGTCCTACCTGGGGCTTCAGATCTAGATTCTCCTTGTTGGGACAGTTCTTCTGTTTATGCCCCCTTTTTTTTCCACTTTCCCTAGGACCTCACCACGTCCCCTTTCTGATGGGACTGACAACCTGACAACTGAAATGCAGAAGGATGTCCCTGTGTGCCAGAGGAGGCCTTTATCCCCAAGCCACTGTGCTTTCATGTCCCCAGTGCATGCACCCGTGGTGGGCTGGGGAAGTGCTTGCCCTTTCCTTGCAGGAGACACACACCTCTAGTGATGGCATAGGAGGATGCACGGCGTGTGTGCAACCTCAGCTGCATTTCAGGCTACAGGAATTGCCCTGGCCAGAAGATTGGCTGCTCTTGTGGCAGAAAAAAAGAGCTGAATGCACAGCTTTTGTGTTATTGCCCCAGCCTTCCCAGTGTGCCAGTCAGCTTTCCCAAACTGAGCCTGATAATTACAGTGTTGTGTGTAATCCTGACTGTACTGGGAGTCTTCAGTGAAGCTGGACCAGCTCAAACATACATGACACAATTTTGTACTTACTGGACAGATTATTAACTTCAATGGAAATAATTTCAGATGCTCTAAAAGTGTCAGAGAACAAACGGCTGCTGCCTCCAGAAAGGAGAGAAGTATTCTGAGCATGGGGCTTGCAGCCAGGCATTCCAGACTCCTCATGCTGGCCTTGGGCAAATTCTGTATTCTTGCTGCCTCGTTGTCCCCATGCAGCACAGACAGAATTGTTTTGCCTTCCTTCATTTTGGTGTGTGTGAAGATTAAATAAATCACCTGAAGATTATGAGCATTAAAGTTACTCTTATTTCATGCAAATATCAGGAGCCTATTGGTTCTAATCACTGCGCTGCCTTCCGATGTTTCAGTTAAAAATTCATCCTGGTAGGATGTTTTCTGCTTCACTTATGGCTCTGTACTTCGTTGAGGGTTTTCTGATCCTCTTTACTAATTAAGAAAGCTCCCACCTTATGTGATGTTCTAAAGATTAATTTCATACTTCATGGTAGTGAGTCGATATTGCAAAATGCCAGGCTTTACAACTGTCAGGGCTGTATAAGTAGTCAGGGCTGAGAGCAAAAGTGCCCTGCTTGCAAGAGGAACTGCTAAGCAGCATCACCAACTGGCCCAGTTGCCTGGTTTACAGAGGAAGCCAGCTGAGGGAAGGATGGGCTGGGAACCCAGATGCATCTCATTGACCTGGATGTGGCAGCTGTACCCTACTACCTGTGTTTAACCCACATTCTGGATATCTCTGGATGTGGTTTAACCTAATTGCTGAATATCCCCGTGCATTTTTCAACCCTCTCTCCATGCTTGTGAATACAGTGTAAATGAGGCTACAGTGCTGTGTATTACCTGTGTGAAAGCAGGCTTTCAGATCCAGCAGTGCCATAACATAGTTACGAGATCAGACGCGATCAAAAAATGTGAAATGACCCTGAAATGTTTTCTGGAGGCCAGCTTGTTCTTCCAGCATGCTTGAACTTTTCCGTTTCAGCAGTGTGAAAGTCAGTTTAGACATGAATTACTTGTTATAGAGACATCATCACTGAGTGTTACTGAATGATCACAAATGAGCAGTTAGCAGTTTGAAAGCACTCAAATTCTGAAATGTTTATTTAATGGAGCCAGTATCCTAACTAATGTCTGCTACAGGTCAAGTGAAAAAATGTGATCACAAAATCAGATATAATAAAAGTACATACCAAATGCTACCCTGCTTTCTGATTTTTATGCTTATTTTCACTTTGTCCTGGAAGCGCCATGTATAAAAGCTCATCTTTATAAACACACACACTTTGTACCACTGTAGTTGCTGTGGTGTGCTACAACTGAAAACCCAGTTTCCCTTGTCCAAAATACTACTGTTCATTCCTGCAATCAGACATCTGTGCATGGAACAACAGCGTAAAATACCAGTGTGCCTTTCAACAAACAGAAACTTTGGGGCATTTTTTGACACCTTCTGAGGATATTCAGGAACAGTCTGGATGCATTCCTGTGCAATAGGCTCTAGGGTGGCCCTGCTTGAGCAGAGAGGTTGGACCAGATAACCCACTGTGTTCCCTTCCAACCTGACCCATCCTGTGATTCTGTGCTGTGTGGTTAAAGCAGCAAACACTGATCACAGGTATGCAGTTCCTTTGCTAGTGGTCCATAAAGATCCACCTGTCTGACTAGATTTTTTAGGTAAAATAACTTGAGTAAGAAAGAAATGCGTTCGTTGGTCAAAAATGGGACTCCAAAAAGCACCTGATCTTGGCATTCCGCAATACGTAAAACCCACGGGACTGGACACAGAGTGGTGTCAGTGGTGATCTTACTTCACTGAAACTTTAGAAGAAAACTAGTCCATGTCCCTTGCTCTAAATGGTGTAACAGGCACCATCAGCACTCATTTGGGGCAAAAGCCTAGAAGCCCATGGTTCTTCCTTGGGCAAGTTCAGTGAGGGGCAACTGTGACCTGCAAGTGCCAAGAGGGCTCTGGAGGCACCTGACCGAGCCTGTGAGACGTCTGGACAAACAGGTCGAAGCTTTGCCTCAGTTTGTTGCTGGAAATAGCTCTGTATGGCTTTTACATCATCACACATGATGGTGAGCCCAGGTCTTCCACATCCTTGGAAAGCTTTCTTATCCTTTTCTGGTGTTTTAATGCACAAAAGAAACTGGGACTGAAGAAACAGCAGATCTGCTACAGCCAGTGTGACTCAGACAACTATGAATTTCTCTGCTGTTCTGGTGATCTGCTGTGTAAAAAGAAAAAAAAACTATGATAAAAATTAACAGGGTTTCAATTATGAGGGTTGTAACAGACTTAGTTACCAGGTCTAGGCTTTCAAAAGGAATTTCTGTGGCTTATTTTAGTGTGTTGGGTTGTTTTTTGGTGGATTTTTTGGGGTTTTTTTTTTTCTTTCTTTCTTGCTGCTTGAGAAAATTCACAGAACAGACTTATGTTATTTAAGAATGCTCAGTGTCTTTTTTGGAAGGAAGACCCAGACTGTGCTACATTACCATCAATGGAAATGAGAGTTAGGAGCCTAATTCGTTTGCAGAAGGGGAGATTAGAGCATATTGTGAATATGCTTTCAGTATATATACTGAGTTTCCCAAGGGTATCTCATCAACAACAACTTCAAAAGTTACTTTTATGCCACTTCCACTCAGCTGACAAGAACACTTGACATTTTGAGAAGGTTTAGAATAGAAAACATTAGCAGTTCGTGTTGATCATGTAACTCATTGGCAAAAACACTACTGTTTAAATATCATGTTCAGTCATCGCTGGATTGCAATCTAATGAGCGTAAAAGATGAGTACTTCTCAAAAGTGACTTGTTTTGTAACTTTTACAGTTACAAACTTGCAAAATCAAGAACCTGGACATTTACTTCCCCTCAAATACCATTTCCAGGGGCAGTGTCCTATTGGGCCTTGGAAAAGCATCTAATGAGCTGTAAATAAATAGCCAAGGTTCTGTACTTTCTGCTCGGTGAAATCTCAGTGGGAAATTTTCATTATTGTGAACAGAATGAGTAATCTTGCTAATGGTGTAGTGACCACGTATGTTCTGGACTGCCTTTGAACACCTCCAGTTCTATGGATATATTTAGCAATTATCAGCGAGTAGTGTTCCAGGTAAGTCCTCCAGTAAAAGGAAATGTGATGTCCTCTTTCTTCCAACTGACATAATTGCTGCTTGACTTTTCCTCTAATTGAACCAACTACTTTTTAGAACTCACTTTGGCATGGACCAGGGAGTGGGATTGCTGATGTCTTTAACTTGTTTGTTTATTTAACTTCCCAGTACATAATCAGTTGTATAAAAATGACCTTCCCCTAAATATATCTCAGTGGCTATGTTATATTATACTAATGACTGCAACACGCAGAAAGCCAAAACAAGCACTTTGCCAGTATCAACAGAAATTATGAAAACAGAGTTTGCAGCAATGTATGAATTATTGCTGCCAGCTTGCAGTTCCCAAGTTAACTCCTGATGAAGTTATAAATTGCAACAATGAGTGCTGTTTCTATCTTGGGTCACACTGTGGGCCAATTTCTGCTGCCACAAGTGGAGACTAAAACCATTACAATTTGGTGGCTCTGTTCCTGTCCAACTAAACTCAGAGTTACCCTTCCAAAAATCAAATAATGACGGTGTGAGATGGGTAAAGGCATACATGGTAATTTCTGTAGTATGTTTTCAGGCAGTTCCAGTACAGAGGTGGAAGATAACCCAGTGACTCAGTCTGGAAGTTAATGTTCAGTTCAGAGCTTTGTTCACTAACAGGGAGGTAAAGGAAATCTAATTTCAAGCTCCATTGGAAATTGAGGGGAAGCAAACAATATCTGAGAGACAGCAAGGAAAACTGGGATAAGAAAGGGATAGAATAAAAATTAATGAGACATGTAGGGGGTGGGGGAGAAATGGAATTGTTTATCTGAATCCTCCCTAAATGTCTTCAGAGACTTCATTCCAGACCATGCTAGTTTTGGCTTTTTAAAAACAAACTCTCTCTCTTATTTTAAATAAGGGTATGCTAGAATTAGAAGCACTTATCCAAACCATCCAGGCTTTAACTTTCAGGGCTCAGAAAAAATGAGACCTGGAACTGAAACAGCTTTGGTTTGGCTTTTAAACCAAAACCACCTTTTTTTTTTTTTTTCCCCCTGTAGTTAGACTAAAGCCTCAATCAAAGAACTAGCAGTGAACGTATAAAAAAAGCACACAGTACAGGAACAAAACACTAAACACCAAAAGAACAACTGCAGTTCATCTACTTTACTCTATGCAGTGCTGACTTATGGAATATTGGAAAGATGGTAGGAATGTTTCCACCCAGAACTAGTTATGGAAGGAAGCAGGATCATTTTGGGAGCATGAAGCTGTATTAATGTAGGGGGAAGGCTGTCTCCACAGAGTTTCACTGATGTTACATCCCAAATCTATCTGTGATGCATAGCTTGCATCTTGGCTGAGAATAGCTGAAAGTCTGAAACCTTTTCAAGTGTAGTATGTGTACCCTGTTTCACTTCATCACTTTGATTCATAACTGTGGTAATCTCTTTCCCTGTGAGTGTTTATAGAAAGCTTGTTCTCCAGGTTAAAAAACAAGAATTGCTTTCATTTGTCTGGCTTCTTCCAAGTTCCATCATTAATTGCAAATATATCTTAAAATCTTTTTTTTACAAAATCTTTTGTTTGGAAACTTCACTGTTTAGAGGCCTGGGTAGGATCAAGTTTGCCAAAGGCCATGTTGTCCAAGGGGAAGAAGATCCAGGATGAAATGCTTTTCTTCTTTTCCCCCTTGTGCAATAATGCCTCACTGCTGTTATTACTTGCAAAAGGGATGATCTTTCTATTATCAGCATATCTCCTGTACTGCACTTTCAACATTTAACAGCTGTCAAAAGAAACAAATTTTAAACATGTTTTGCCACAGATGAGTTCGGATTAACTCCCTCTCAATCTCTAAAATCTTCAGGATTTTTTTAACAGTAATTTGCCAGGACTTTTTTTTAAAGTTTCTGGAGCACAGAAAGCTTAGCTATTCTAATCATAATGCAAACATTATGGAAATAATGCATAATGAGAATATTCCCTATGAAGATATGCCCACTAACAAACAAATTATGTGGAAAAAATTAGGAATATCTTAGAAAAATTCCAGGCAATCTTAGTCCATTTGTCATGAGATAAATCTCCATTTTATGAGCATTCCTCTTGTCCTTTCCAGCTCTTTTCATCATCTTGTCCGTAGTGTTTTGTTAGAGAATAGTTGCAAATTATTTTGTCTTTTGCAGGAAGAATGTGAAAGGGTTGTTGCATCTATCCCTGAAGTGTCTTGGTCAAAGTTTATACTGGAGAGAATAGAAGTCATATATACTTCAAATACTGTCCTGCACAAGGTCAGTTGGATGCTCTAGGACATGTCTTGAAACAAAATTGCGGCATAAAAATTGTAAAACCTACCTAACAACAACTTCCTCACCGTGGAAAACATCTGTACAGAACGATGGTGTGTACAGAACAGTGATTCAATATTAGTGTAATTTCCTGTAAGAGGAAGCCAAATTTTAGGACACCACATAGGAGACAAACATCTGCTGACTCACCCTCATCTTGTTTCATATTTGTGTATTACAGTATCTCTGGTCAGCGTCAGCCTCGGGTTGCTGCTGACACATCTGTCCTGCTCTAATTACCCTCTGTGGAAGGGGCTTGCACCCAGCACAAGTGAGATGTGAAAACAGGTGAAACGTCCACCTGCTCTTTTAGAGTCCTTTTTCCTATGCAGGGAAGTCTGGGGTTTGGGTTGGGTTGCTTTGGGTTTGGTTTTGGTTTTTTTTTGGTTTTTTATAGTTTGAATTAACATCACAGATAGACTCATGGGTGGGTAATACATCCAATACATATATTGCTCTAAGAACAGGTGGGAATAGCTGTAGGGTCTCATTAGTTTTATTGTTCCACTGTTGTTGCCAGAAAATTGCATGCTGCTTTTCCCTGGGCCTATTTTGAACTGGAAGAGCTGCCAGAAGCTTACCCACTGTTTTCACATAGGCAGGGTGTGATCTGAGAGGTGGGAGTTTTGGGGTGGCACATCCCTTCACTCGCATCTCTGTGGGTGAAGCAGAGCCATTTGATTTAACCTGGAGAGGGGGGCTGTTGGGATACTCTCTGGGGAAGGAGCGCAGCAGGGGTGGTACAAGACAGTAAAGTGTGGGCTTACCTGATGCCTTGCTTCCTCAAGAAACCAGGGCTACTCACTAGAACTGGAAAACAGTTACTCCAATCTACGAGAGAAATGACACAGAGAAGAACTGTGAGGAAGGGACCTCAGACATTGCTTCTATTTCTGCCTCTCCTCTTTTTTCTGTTCCAAGTGTTGAAGCGTGCTGTCCTTCTGGCTTACAGTGAAATTTCCACTCAAAAGTGAGGCATCTAAAATCTATGATGGTCTCAGGGAACAGAATGTCTTGTGGAAGCTCAGTGTCGCTTTAGCTGAAAAGAGTGGGGGTGTTGGGTTTGGGGACATGTGCTTCTATGTTGCTGATGTGTCTCGGTGACTCAAAAACCTTCAGGTGTGACCATTCCCAGGGAGTAGAGCAGGTCAGCTTGCTGGGGGAGCACGAGCCATCCTCTACTGGCCCATTTTGGTGGCAGAGGGTCTGGGAGTACTGCCTTAGAACATCATTCATTGACCTGTTTTTTTCTCCTAGAAAGGAGAAAACCTCACCCAGGAAGGATACCAGAGTTTTTGGAAGGACCCCATAGTAATTCCTGGACTAAGGCTCTGTACACCACTGCAACATAGGAAAGACGAAGCTCTTAGAGAGCACCTAGAGGAGGGCAAAGAAGATAGTGAAGGGCCTTGAGGGGAAGATGTAGGAGGAGTGGCTGAGGGCACTTGGTGTGTTCAGCTGGAGGAGACTGAGGGGAGACCTCATTGCAGTTACAACTTCCTTGTGAGGGAAAAGAAGGGGCAGGCACTGATCTCTTCTCCGGGGTGACCAGTGACAGGACCCAAGGGAATGGCTGAAATTGTGTCAGGGGAGGTTTAGGATGAATATTAGAAAAAGGTCCTTCCCCCAGAGCACTGAACAGGCTCCCCAGGGCAGTGGTCACAGCACCAAACCTGACAGAGTTCAAGAAGCATTTGGATGATACTCTCAGGTCCATGGTGTGACTCTTGGGGATGGTCCTGTGCAGGGCTAAGAGTTGGACCCAATGATCCTTGTGGGTCTCTTCCAGTTCAGCATATGCTGTGATTCTGTGATTCTGAGAGAGGAAATGTAAGATGCTATTGGGTCTTGGCCTGAGAGTGGAAGAATATGTAGTAACACTAAATCTAGTTTGTCTCTGTGTGTAATGTTCTTTGTTGTGCTAGATAATTTAGAGAATTACAAACTGCACTTATGAACAAACAAATCAGAGCATTGCTGCAGGCACAGGGAGAGTACAATATGCACATGTGATGTTATATAGTAAATAATGGGATGTTGTCTTCATGATATTGTGGCCACATGCTTTGCATGGAGGACTTAAACATTTACTAGAAGTAAAATCCATTAGGAAAGGCAATTGTTGGCCTTATCCAAGCCAGAGCATTGAAAATGGGCTGTTTCCTTCTCCAGGCATTCCTTGTGACATGACAGAAACTCCCCCCACCACAGCTTTAGCATAGGAACATGTTGGCTTAATGCTTTGTTTTTATACAACAATTTTGTATTTTGGAATTTGTTGATGTAATTCTGCTGCCATCTTAGTGCAGACCCCAATCTGATCTTGAATTTTAGGGAATGGAAAATCCTGATAAACATCCGGGCTGCTGTGAATGCAGAGGACAAAGCCTTTGTAGTAAAATGTCTCTGACATACGCCCGTGAGAAGTGTTTGATGTGCTGTAAAAGACATCTGTCTGAAAAAAAAAAAAAAAATGTTTTTCCTCTCTGGCTTTGTTGAGCAGACTATGGAACGAAATGACACAAAGTAACCCTTCTTTTCCTTCTCCTACTGGCCCCCTTTTTGTTTGATCTTGCAGTGATGTGATAATGGTGAGTCTGTAACTTGAAAGTAATTTCTGTAAAGACTTATAGCATGAACAGAGGGGGTTTTATTTTCTGCTGCTAAAGGGAGATCAAAGTATGATCCAGAGATTAGACCTGTTTAGAGAGAGAAAACTGAGCAGCCTATTTCTTCCTCTGTCACTGAATTGCTGCATCAAACCGCTCAAGTCACTTAACTTCTCTGTGCCCTGGACCTTTGCTGTGTACTGTAGCATTCAGCTCCGGTGCTAATAACAAACGTTTTGCGTGGCTTAATCACAAATGATTGCCGGTATGCTAATTAGCCTCAGTCAGTGCAAAGAGTGCAAAGTTCATGATACTTGTTTTCAACCTTTACACCAGTTCAGGGCACATGAGGGCTGTTTTCTTATTTAGTTTTGGTAACAGCTTGCAGGGCGGGGGGGGGAAGGAAGAAAGCACTGAGATCTGCAGAGGAGTTGAACGCAGTGGCACAGATTGTAGGCTGGTGGGAATTTCTGGGCTCAGGGCTGTACTTAACAAAGGATGCTGGCATCAGAGAAGCATTATTACAGTGTTTCATATTGGCCTGGATGAGTTTAAACAACCAGCTGAGCAATGTACACAGCGCAGGCCAACCTTCCAAATAAGTCCTGTGTCTCACACTGGCTGCACGTGACTCTAGGGCACCGGGTTTTTTGCTGTTTGCTACTCAAACTAGTTCGAATAACACTAGCTGAGGTACGCTGGCCTCCTCTCACAGCTGTAGTCTGGAGATGGTGCTTGCTCGTGGGCTCCAACTGGCAAATGGAGAAGCCAGGTCTGTAGTCTGCCAGCGTGCCTGCATCTGCACCAATGCACAACCCGCTGAAGAGCAGCCGGCTGGACGAGCCCTCCAAATACCAGGGTAAAGCTGTGTCAACAGTTGTCTCCCTGACAACCCTGTGAGCCCTCTTACACGTGGAAGAAATTGGTCAACGTCAGTCTAGAAGGAAAAAAAAACTTGTGGAAATCCCTCCTCTCTAGGCAAGGCTGCAGTTTTGCCATCTTTAAAAAGATGTCAGGAATGTCCCGTTTTGTGGCAACACTAGGAATTTAATCTGTGTGTAGATGCAGAGGACACGTGATTAAATCAGGGGTACAGGAGCAATACAATGCTATGCTGTGTGTGAAAGCAGGCTCACATCAGTTCTGCATTTTGTATACAGGCAGCCTAAGAGAAGAGACTCTCTGCTGCAAAATGTCTGCAGTCTGTGTCCCTGGAGAATCAGCTGGAGTTGAAGTAAACTTTCAAATGTTGCATGCTTCTGTGAGGGAAACAGGAAAGCTGCCTCCTCCCAGGGTATCAGCAGGGAAACCCAGGAACAAATACATTAACAGGCCTTGTATGGTGAAATGTGCTATATTATTTTTATCTCGATGCGTCTGAGAAAGAAGCAAATTCCCTAAATTTCCCAGCATGACAGAGCGAAGCAAACCCCATGAATCCCTCCAGCAGTTGCAACAGTGTCTTCTTGCCCTCTGCCCTTTGTCCTTCTAAGGAAAAATGTTGGGTGGTATACAACATTTGAAAAGTTAATGATAGGGTAGCTGTTAAAAGCTAAGACTTGCAGCTTTGGGTTGCAGGAGCAGACAAACAGGAGGGCAGCCTGTTCATACCAAATGTCTGAGAGTACCTTATTCAGGGAAGCACTGGCAGACTATAAAGTACTCTGTTAATTATTGTTGACATTGCATAGAGAGCTTCGTGCTGTTCTTTCTCTGCCTGCTTTGACTTAATTTGTTTGAGAAAGTACTTTTTCTGTGCTGCAGATTATGTAAATTCATATACTCTACTGCACTGACAGATGTGTCTTTGTTTTAGAAGAAGCCATTATTTTTTTCAGGGCTGAGTGTGAATGGAGCATTTCACATTGGTGGCTTCCAAAAATATTTATAAAGTGAAGCTGAGCAGCTCAAAATATTTTGCCCTCCTACACTGACATTCACAAGCCTTTATAGCAGTGTTATCAAAAGCATTTGCAGTGGAATGTGCATGAGTCGGCCACAAAGACTGGGTTAGTCAACAAATGACTGAAGGCACACATTTTAGTCAGCTCTCCCTCACACAGTGTGTAGCAGAACCCAGATAACACAACTGCCATCAACAGGGCAGCTATTCCATATTGTGGGCAAGAGACTATCTTATAATGATCCCTTGCTCTCACAGCTCCTGCATATCTGAGGAAACAGGATGAAGAAGTAGAAAGTGACTAAAATTCCCCTTTCTTCCTCTTTCTGCTGGTAGAGTACAGTTTGACTGTTCACTGACTGGCAGTGCTTGCTCTGAGGCTTGACAGCTGCTCACGACTCTGATAGTCTGGCTGCGAGTAGTGGCATTGTCTGCCCTGCACATTTCCATTCCACTCCCACTGACCAATGCCGAGGTGTCCTTCAACTTACCCTCGCACTCATTGATACTTCCTGAGTATGCTGCTAAGAAATGAAGCATGCTGCACTCACCTGAGTAGGGAGAAATGCTCCCTAGGAACACATAAATGCATCAGACTTACTCGTAAGTTTCACTAGAAATTAAAATTATCTCTGTGCCAATTGATAGCAATGACTTCCGTAGGCTTCACCACTGTATTGAAACCATGGCTCCCCACATATTTCTTCCCACAAGGAGTCATCCAAGAGAACTACACCTGCAATCAGTGCCCTCCAGCTGCAAGCAGAAGAGAGGGACTGACCAACTTCATTAGCATAGGGAGGATAACTGACATGCAGGGATTTGAACAACAAAACCACATGTATTCCATGCCCACTCTCACCTTCGTCCATTTCCATCTTTAAATTTTTTAAAATTTATAATAAATAGCAGCGAGTCCAAGGAATTCTACTTACAAACCCACTCCTTTGGCTTTGGTCAGCCCATCCCTGTCCCAAGGAATGGGGAGCACTGGGGCTACATACCACAATGAAACACTGATTCTCCTCAGCTGGCAAATGAATAGAAAAGACATTTTAAACAGTGTGAAGTCTCTCTAACTGGATTAGTATAGCTGGAGCTCAACAGCAGGAGGAGGGAGGGTCTGTCCTACACAGTCCTGCCTTCCTAAACATGAGCTCGAGATGATGAAGAAAAGGTGAGCTGTTTTACTCAACAAGGAAATGAACTCCAGCTAATTCCCCTTCTTCATTATTTAGCAGATAAAATATCACTCTAGTATGCTCAATGATTGCACCCTGGGTAGGACGTCATTTCCCTTCAATGGGTATAGAAGTTTCTTTCCTCATAATCCTTGCATTGTTTGGACACAATCCTTTTTTGTACATTTGCATTTTTCCATTGTTAATGATCATTTTTTTAATTGCTGATGACTGTGTGACCCTTTTGTTGTCTATATGCAGTGTTAATTCTGTGGTATTTAAGCATGTCAAAATGAAACCTGTCTCAGCTGAAGACAATTTTCAGTGGAGATCAGTTATGTATTTCCTTCTTTTTCTGGTTAAGAGCCACTTATTTTGGGTTTTTTGGTGCATTTTGGAGACTTGTGCATTGAAGTTACTTCTCAAACTTTGAAATAGGAAAGAATTTCACACTTTCAAGCATGTATTGCCATCTAATTTCTACCCTGTTGCTTATAGCTTGCAGCAGATGAAAAATGGGTGACAAAAACTGCAATAAAAGAAAGAAACATGGAGAACAGTAACAGTAGACATGCATGGTGTATACCATGAAATATTATTTTCTGTTACTGAATTTGTAGCTTAATTAAAACAAAACAAAACAAAACAAACAGAAACAAGACAACAAACTCAGTTTTCCCTGTTGGTCAGCACAAAGTAAGAGAATAGTTATAATTTTGATTAAAATATTATTGAAGAAGCTACTCCTCTAGTATTTTGTGAACTTGGCTTGAACAGAAATGAGACGCAGAGTTTGCCTCTAAATGTAACCATGGTGAGGGAAGCAGGAATTAATATGACAGATCATTTCAGACTATCTGAAGAACTGGGTTATAGGACGAGGGTTGACAGGGGTGTTCTTCTGGCACGAGGTAGCCCTCCAGATGAAGGGTGAGGTCTCTCTGTGCAGAAGGCATTTGCTTTTGATGGCCAGGCCACGACTGTGAAGTAGGCTTCCTCTCCTCTGGGACTTTATCTCAGATTTCACCAGCTCCTACTGCGAGTGAGGAGCACCTTTCTTTGACCTTGGCGTTCCTGGCGTTAATGTTTGGGAGCATGCAAAATCTCAAAACAAACACTCCTCTCCTCGGGGGAACAGATAAGCGAAACAAGCACGTGACAGACGATAGTGACGTTAATTAATGCATGACTGGTTCGCACGTATATTCTGCTCTCACTGAAGTTATGAGTGGCTGCAGAAGAAAAACAGGTCACGTAATGACACCGAGGTGCCCGATGCATTAGTGAGCAGGTACATAGGCATACGGCTTGACACAGACACAATGTTTAAAGATGCTTGATTTCCCAAGAAAGCCCCGAACTTGCATGCAGAAGCCTTGCTAGAGCTTCCAGGCTCTGTAAAAACTCAGTTTCAAAAAAAAAAAAAAAAAAAAAAAAAAAAAATCACCTTCCACCCAAAAAAGTACAAATGAGGTTTTGCAACCAGCCCGTGAAATGTTCATCGCCGCATTGCAACATGGTGACTCTGTCTTGAGAAAGCCTTTTTTTGGAGAACATTGCTTGGGATTGCATGCTTGTGCTCGGTAGGTTTATAGCCCCTTGTGTGAACCACCTTTTATTGAGAAGAGCCTTGACACTGTCCCTCATCAGGTGGGGACAGCACAGTGGCTGCAGGTGTGTAATGCTCGCCGAGGTATCCAGCCACATGGGGAGATACAAGAAACAGGAACTGGACAAACTGGTTATAGAGGCTTAGTTAGGGGCTCCCTGGTGCTGGGTCTTGTTCAGGCAAGCTATGAAACCTGCTGCGACAGAGTGGCTTCAACTGGAAAGGGCTTTACACTCTCATTTTTTTTTTTTTTAATCTTCTCTCACTCCCAATATTTGTCCCAGTCCCTTCTCCCCTTTTTACATACAGCGTTCTGTTTGAAAGAATACGCTGGCAGTGCTGAGCGCTGCGTTGGAGGGAGGCCCCGGTTAAAGCGGCTCCAGATGTGCTGGGACTGGCCCGGCTGTGCGCACCGAGGAGCAGATCCTGCCTCTCCGGCTGGGAGCGGGCACCCATGTGCCAGGCGACGCACGTGGCTGGCTGCCACAGCTACTAACCTAGTATTAACTGCATTAATCGCGGGCATAAACAGTGCGTAGTGCCAAGCATGTCACAAGCTGATTATAAAAGCCGCGGTGCGGGCAGAGTTTCAAACTGTGCTTCACTTTTAATTTCCAAGCGCCTTTCCCTGCCCCCTCCCCCCCCCTCCCCCTCCGAAATTCCTTGAATGTGCCTGTGTGTTTACGAAAATACAAACGTGTGCCGAGCGGCGGGAGCTATCAGGTTGTAAATACCACGAGTGTACCTGCGGGTGGCTGGGAGCGAACCGCCCGCAGGCGCCCGGAGCCAGGGCGGCATCGCCCGCACCCGCCGGCGAGGGACAGCCCCTTCCCTCTCCCCTTCCCTCTGCCCTGCCTCCTCCCCGTCCAGTCCCGTCCCGTCCCGTCCCGCTCCGCCGCTGGGCGCAGCTGACCTACTTTTTCTGCATTTCTCCCCACACTGCCCAGACCGCTCCCACGCACGGGGCTCGACGGCTTTTAACCCTTCGGAGCGCAGCAGCAGCACCATCATCATCAGCAGCATCCCCTCATCCCGCTCTGGTCCCCGGGGGAGGTGGCGGCTTGTGGGGCTGGCCCACGAAGCGCTGTCCCCGCAGCACCACCCGCGGGGATGCGCGGACACGAGCCGGCCGCATCCCTCTGAACCACGGGTCCTGCTCGCTCGGTTGCCGCCCCAATCTTCCCTGGGCTTGGTGTCCACTCGGCCGCCAGTGGCTCTCCCCCGAAATTCTCGCAGCAGCGAATCTTTAGCAAAACAAATGCTATCCCCCAGTGAAATACGAAGCAACTGAAATTCACAGAAATGGTGATGTTGCCGCCTCTGTGCAACGCGGCCCCACCTTCCTGGAACCGCACAGGTCATCAAAGCGTTTTGGAAAGGTTCTGCCCTTGGTGGCTGATGCTCTTGGAACTTTGTCTGGGAAAGGGTGTATGATTATGGTGACAAAATTCGTCTGTTGCAGCATACACTGAGTGCTGGCTTAGTGCAAAGAGCACATGTAAGTGCTTTGCATCTGACCATGTACTTAAGAGTGGTGAAATGGTGCTCAGTGTGATATTCTAGCTGGTAAATTTTAACTCACTTTTGGATTGTGATTTACCTCTCTGAATTTCTGCTGAAACACTGGGGTCTCTTTTGTTCTTTTTAGAAGAATGTTAGAGGAAAATGCCTTTAGCTGCACAGAAGGTTGAAAAGGGAGAAGATAATGCTCTCACATTTTAAAATACAAAACTCTTCCTAAACAGGCCAGAAGTAAAATGCGTTGGAATTAAAGATTCGGCTTGGGTGTGCACCTTTTAGGTACAAAAATATTTACCTATTTTGAAAAGTGCTTTCTGGGTTTTAGCAAAGGTTATTGGACAACTACAGAACTTGTCAGCAAAGCATTTCCTCAAGTATATAAACGTGTCTGAGTATACAAACAAATTGGATTCAAGTACATGCAGATAAGGAAATGGGCAATTTTCTCCTGAAAAAGTTAAAGCTTCCCTGGTGCAGCTAGAAAAACTTGGAACAAGAGCAGAACTGCTGGGAAAGGAGTTTCTCGGCAGCATGGATTTCATAGGTCCAGGACCAATGGGCGACCATGGAGTAATCAAGCTCTGTGGGCACTGTGACCCTGGAGTAAGGCCTAGGGGTCACTCTTTTGGCTGTGTGATTGTTGAAGGATGATGGGGATAGGCAGTGGCCCTGTTTGTGTTCTAGAGGAAGGCTTCTCAGAACTTCAGTGAGAGCATTCTGTGTTTTGAGAGTGGGCTGTTTTGTGTGCTTAGCTGTGCTCCATTGCTTTAAGATGTTCCCCACTGAAGATATCTTGGCTGCCAGTGGTTACTGGCCTATTTCTAACCTGTGTTTTGCAGAAGTTTTATTCTGAGTGTGTGAAGTGGAGAGTTGCAGGGATATCTGGGCATGATCTTCCCCCTCCCACAAAGGAGGCACCTTCAGTCAAGCTTTGGGCTATCTAACGGTGTTGGATTATCCTTAGCTCATGTAATACTGCCCTGATGTTGAGGGTAATAAATAAGTCCTCTACTGACTGTCAGATCTTTCAGCAGCCTGGATAGGAATAACTGCTAGGTGTCAGCTTTAGGGTACTGTCCATGAGATACTGGAGTAATTCCTGGAAAAGTAGGATTTGAAAAAGCAGTTATAGGTATTTGTTTATTGAAGTGGGTCACGGTGCTGCTGCTTCCCATCTGTCTTTCTCAAAACACAGAATGAATATTGGGTTGCAGATAACTGTGACCCAGAAGTATCAATTGAAGGGACTACTGGGTACAACCAAGGACAACTCTCTACCTCCTTTGCAGTTGTCTCTCAGCAGCTATCCTGGTTAACAGATGGTTCAGTCAGAGTCTGTTTCTTTTTGTGTTTTTGTGTTTTTTTGGTTTTTTTTAAGCAGCTGTATACAAGTTGCAGTGAATAGGAATGTGCAGGGAAAAAGAATTTGCACTTTACACAGGGAGTAAATTTTAGGTACCCATCCAACCAGAAAAGTAAAGATTCTGCAGAGTAATCTGTAGGCAAAAACCTGTCAGCTCAAATTTAGTGATCAGTTCACTATCACAAAGTGATCTCTAGTTTTCTTTTACAAACACAAATTATTTTTACATCATTAATGATTAAGTCAAAAGTGAATAATGACTGCAGGAGTTGGTCTTAGTGACAGAGTTCATAGGATAAACTTACTAAGGGGAATTTTTTGTGGGTTTTATGTTAACCCAGAGAATCTGTGGTATGGGAAGTAAAAAGGATGTTGAATGAGTGCCACCAAGTGTCTCCTGAAGTATATGAAAGCCCAGGTCTTAAGTGGAAGAAAAAACAACATTACACCACAAAGTTTTGTAGTTTTGAGAGGAAAACATCTCAGAGGCAGCAAATTCTGTCAGAGTGAGAGAAGTTAAAATTGTTATTCCATTGGAGTGCAAGAGCAATGCCTGGAGATCTGATAAATGTAAAATGTCTGTGTAAAGGGGGGAAACACAGACATAATACTGAGTATCCCTCCAGTTTGTCTACCTGTTCCATTTTGTGTTTTTTCTGAGTGAGCGCTCGACGTTCACACTGTGCAATATTTGTGGCTGCGCTGTGTTGTATCAGGTGATGGTGTGATACAACTGTTCTATCTCGAGCAGGGCTGGCAGGTATCACAGGACCCAACACAAGTTACAGATTTGGCAATTAACATCTCCATTTTGGCCTTCCTTCTGCTGCTATTGGTCCCAATGCCAGCCCTATCAATAGATGCAGTGAGGGTAAGGCCGAGACTTGTGTGCACAAGAATCAGAGATTAAACAAACAAAACAAGTGTTGTCAGATGTCCTACAAGATGGTTTCATCCCAGGTTCTCTGTAGATTAAAATGTTCTGATGGATCTTTAGATTTTCACCTGAGTGTGACTAAAGAAGGAGGATTTATCAGTCTTACAATTTTTGGAATGTCAGTTGATTCAAGCAATGTTCTGGTGAAACAGCAGGAGAACAGACTAGGACAAGGACATACCCAAAGAGACTGTTTATTGCAGGGTTCTGGTAATGTACTTATTTGGAGATGGCAGAAATGTTCTAGGTCAAAAGTATGCTGAAGCCTCCATACAGAATTTGAACATTTTTTGACTGAAATATGTTTGCATACAGATAAACTGATCAGTGCTGTGATGGCACGGAACCCATTAAACTTGGGGGAGTACCAGAGAGCAAAAGAGAGCACCATACAGTTTGGGGACTCTGGGCAGTGAGTGAGCAGCAGCAGAGTTTCTCTGTTTAATCAGCAGCCCATTGTATCTACCAGGGCCTTTCCACAGAAGTTAATGGGTGAAGAGCCTTCTGCTGGCACAAGCTTTCCATTGTAGCACTCTCTGTCCTGCTCTGTTTTACTATTTCACTGAAAATTAACTTGAAAGAGTCATGTTTACCACTACCTGAGCACACTGTAAAAAACCTCACCTTTGAAACTGTGTGTAACTCTTCTTTGCATGATGAAGGGTGAAACTGTAAAGTACAGAGACAGAAATCAGTGTAGCAGCCTTGAACTATTTGGAAGGACTTTCACTGTTTGCACGGGTGATGTATATTTTGTGGTAGCTACAGTGTCCAAAGGGGGTAATGCTCAGGTCATTTGGTCTCACTACATGTGAAATTTATGCTGTTGATTTGGTGTTTATCAATATGCAGGGCTTTCCAAGCACCACTGCATGGTGTGCTAGATAACTAGGCTACCCTCTGTGTGTGGATAGGTAAGACAAAAAAATGTGAGAAGTACCTTTGTAGGTTCAGATAAATGCCTAAGCTATGGTTTAGTCAAAACTAAACATCTATGCAGAACACTGAGTAATTAGCTGTCCTTTTCCTCTTGTGTCCTTGCCAAGCACAATAGACTGAGTTATCAGTATTCTTGCCAGTAATTCAACTATTATCTCAGTTTTAAAGTATTTCATTGTTTCTAGAACAGGTTTTAATATACTGGAGAAGATTCCTGTCAGGCTGTGCTATCTGGGCACGATCTCACCATTCATACAAAAGGAAAAATAAAAACTTCTCTGAAATGTCCAACATCACTACAGCCTTAGAAGCACTCTTGGGTGAGCTGAACAGGAGCAAGTGGCAAACTAAAAGTGTTGCTAAGAAACAAATCCAGATGCTTCCAGATCTTATGAGGGAAAAAAAAAGAAAAAAAAAGGACACACCCACCAAAGCAGATCAGAAATTTCCAAAAGGAAATTTTTATTAGATAGATATTCTTCTATTAGCCAACAATGCTAGTTTACTAAATAAGGAAATAAGAGCTTTGAGAGCCAGTACGATTCATAAAGATGAATGAGATGGCTCTCCAGAGGAAAAGGTTTGCAGAGGACCTGAACTCAAAGTAAAACTTCTACTTTAATAACGTCCACAGAAAGTCACTTAAACAATTTTGTGACTATTATCCCATGTTTTTCTTAATGGAATTATACCTTTAGATATCTTCTTAAAATATTTTTTTCCCCAAACCAAATAGTAAAAGTTTTTTATTACAGAGAATTATGTTAAAATGTAAAAATAATTTTAAATAATTGCATGACACAGAATTTCCCTCTTCTGACAATGAGAATATTTCCATTTTTAGCTAACAGCAACAACTAAAAATGTTTATTTTATTAAGGATATCTTTACTAACACCACTCTAATTGATGCTTATACAACTTCTTTTGAAGTATTTCAGCTAAAGGCTTTTGGAGTGGACTCTGAAATACTGATTCATAGGGAAGAAGATAGTTATTTTGACTTGTTTTACTCTAAGGTTTATTGTACCTTGCTTTGACTGTAGGGTGAAAAAAGTTGGCATTCTTCAAAGAGCAGTTTCCTTTTATTAAAACCTGCAGTCAGAGAAACACAGCTTTCATTGTGCTTTATGCTGTCTGAGTCATGTTCTCAATGGATGATTGATCAACACTTTGTCAAGCCTGGACATGGCAAACTACAAAAGCAACATAATGAATGGAAGTTAGAATGTGTTTCAAAATGTAGCTCCATCTTTATTTTCAAAATGAAGTAAAATATTCCACCCGCATCTCAAATCCAAGATAAAACTACCAAGTTAAACATGAAAAAGTTTAATTTAAGCTTATACTCTGTCTGCCATGTAGACATTAAAGAGAAAGTCTAAAAGAAACCAAGACAGATCAGCAACTGGACCATATTGCACTCAAAAATGCTACCTTTGCACTTCAACATCTTGAAAAATAAAAGGAGAAGTGACATTATTTGATCATATTGCTGGGCTAAACTGACTCTCCTCTTTCCACCTACCTCAGTCCAGATCTTCAGGGACAGTGTCCAGAAGGTAGTCATGTCTCCTTGAATATGCAGTTCTCGACTTTGTGATTTCCTCCTATATTAAATCTTCTCCTTTAATTATATTTTCTTTTATTTTTTAGGAAAAGGCACCTGGAGATATGACAATATTCTTT